TTTTGCAATGTGCCCCCAAAGCCAGTCTACCTACTCCGCGCTGTTTTATTTCTAGTCTCGCATGCACTTCGGATTTCATGCATAGCACTGCGTTTCCAAAAGTCAAGCCAGGCACCATGACCCCTTTCCAAATCTCTCTCACCACCTCATACCTGTTGTAATTCCAAAGTGCTCTATTTTTCATTACAGCTGCATTTCTGTTGCCCTTACCTATTATATACTTTTCATGGTCTCTGAGATATTCTGCACCATCACATATCCATACTCCTAGATACTTGTATTTACTAGCTCTCTCAACTGTAATATTCTGTATCTTCAGCCTCTCAACTTCATCCTCATTAAAAATCATGACTGCCGATTTTTCGCTACTGAATTCTAAACCTAATTCCTCTCCTTCCCTACCACAGATGCTCATTAATTCCTGCAACTCTGTCCTGTTGTTAGCCATTAGTACAATATCATCCGCATACATCAATCCCGGTAAGGATTGCTGAATTTTTTGGCCTAGCTTACTGTAAGAAAGGTTGAACCCAAGCCCACTCTTCTCTAGTCTATCCTCCAATCCTCTCAGATACAACATAAACAGCAAAGGCGATAACGGGCACCCCTGCCTAAGGCCTCGTCTTATCTCTATTTTCCCTGTCGCCTTTCCTTCCCATGTTATAATCACCTTGTTATCTTTGTAAATGTTCCTTAATCGTGCTGTTAGTCCTTCATCTAGGTTTAAGTTCTCCATTATGTCCCACAGGTTTCTTTGGTTCACATTGTCATAGGCACCCTTGATATCCAGAAATGCCAGCCAGAGCTGTCTGTTTTCTTTTTGCGCTATTTCTATACACTGTGTTAGAGAAAATAAATTGTCCTCCAACCATCTTTGTTTTCGAAACCCGTTCTGTAATTCGCCCAGTATGCCCTCGCAATCTACCCATTCCTCCAGTCTGTTCTTTATAATCTGCATTACCAACCTGTAAATAACCGGTGTCACGGTTATAGGACGATAATTCCTAATATCAGACTTATCTCCCTTTCCCTTATATATCATACTCATCCTACTAAGCCTCCATTCATCTGGAATATTTCCTTTTGTTATCATGGTACTCACTACCTCCCTTAGTTTTGCCTTAGATTTAGGACCCAAATTCTTCACCAGCTTGATAGGGATACCATCTGTGCCTGTCGATGTGCCACTAGGGACTCTTCGTTCCGCCTTTTCCCATTCTCTTTGTCCAAAATCCGCGATGTCACAAACTGGACTGCTACTTCCTTCGGTTCTCCTATCTTCCACATGTAACCGTTCCCGAAATTTCTCCTCCATCACTGCTCCTATATATTGTATCGCATCATCTCCCTCTAATTGATCTCCCTGATGCGAGAGTATGAACCTCTGTCTAGCTTGCGTTGTTTCACCGAGTGAGTTCAAGTGCTCCCAAAACTTCTTGGCAGCGTTTCTATCTTTCTTACTTACATTACTCATCCATTCCTCACCCTTTCTCTGAATTTTCGCATTGATCAAACTGGATGCCTCTCGGCGACATGTTATAAAATTGTCCCATTTTCTTTTTACTTCCGTTTCGGACTCCCCACTACGCTTGGAATACCTGTGTTCTCTAGAGGCTTCCTGACGTTTTTGTATCGCTTGCTTCACTTCTTTGTCCCACCAGCTTTTTGGTCTATGTCCTTGCTTCCCCTTTCGTTTACTCTTAACTTTGTCTAGTTCTAGAGCAAAAAGCCTAGTTAGGCTCTCATAGGTCCAATCTGTATGCCGGTGCCCTGAAACTGCTGCCTCTATTCTTTCAACAACTATTTCCAACTCTTTGTCGCTGCAAAAAGTTTGCTTTGAATTATGTTGTCTAGTTTCAGGATTTACTTCTCTGGCAAAATTCAGCTTAATACGTTTGTGATCACTACCAAGACTTTTGGAACCTTCTTCATCTATTTTCATTACTTGTAACTTACCATATATTTTGTGTGACATGAGTACGTAATCTATAGTTGAATGCAGATTGCCAGTTTCCCAAGTTATGTGCCCGTCACACTTCTGACTGGTATTACATAAAACTAAGTCATGTTTTTCCACCAGTTCTAGTAATATGCTTCCAGTTGAGTCCGTATACCCATCCAGACCCTCAATATGGGCATTCATGTCTCCCATAATAATTATTTCGGAGCCTTCCCCTAGTTCACTAATGTCTCTTGATATGCAATCAATCATTTTTCTGTTTTCCTCTTTAGCACCTGTCCCTGTCCATAAGTAAACCACTCCAAGGACTGTTGATTCCCCAGCGACTTTTCCTTTCAGCCACAAATGTTCGGCGCACTCCTTTCTGATCCTTTGAAAGTTCATATTCTTCTTAATAAATGCTCCAATTCCACCTCCCTTCCTCGTTCCCTCCATTCTGTTGCATTCTTCCCACACATAGTCAGGGTTGCAAGGTGGCTGCTCCATGTCTCTGAGATGTGTTTCCACAAACCCATACACCATTAAATCCTCCTTTCTTAGTTGCTCCTCTACCTCTTCCCATTTTAACCTATTTCTACCACCCTGCATGTTAATATATCCAATGTCTGATTGTGCTGTTTTTTTATACCTGTTCTTACGTTTTCTCCTCTTTTTAACCCTGGGTGCCTCTCCCGACTTCGTTGGGTTTTCAATTACTTCAGTGCCCCCAGGGCCCTCGGTCCCCCCAAAAAAGCAGTCACCGTGCGGCCCATCCTATCCCCCACCCTGTAACCCGTGGCCTCACTGTAGTGAATGCCATCTGCAAAAGGGCGGGAGCCAGCCTCGTACACCTCTCTGTTTACTTCCATTACGTCGTACCGAAGCTGTCGACTCATACCCTTAATTACTCCGTTGGCTTCGACAACCCTCCTCTCCGTTAACCCGGACTGCCCCCGAACTTCTGGAATGGTGCACACAACCACATGCACATTCTCAGACACGTCCCTCAGCTTACGTATTCCCACGTTTAGCTGCTTTCCGAGGTTCTGGCTCCTACCCTTGAGCACATCATTAAGCCCCGCATGAACTATTACTAGGTTCCTTCCCTCCCGGTTATCCCACACCCCCTCACGTGCTGCGGTCATAGCATCCACCATACACAACCACGTTTCGAGCCGCGCGCCATCTGGTGGCTGAAACGGACGAATAAATAGAGGTACCGCGCCCTCTTAAAAGCTGCGCTCTAAACAAAAGACTGAGTGAGTGAGAAGCGTGCGCTAAAGCTACCAGTCGTGCAGCAGAGCGAGGCTACCTGTGCGATAAGGCGCCCTCGCGCTTTTTGCGTCTCTTATCATAAAGCCCGAGCCTTGTACCTGCTACAAGAGCGGTAACTTTAGAGCACCACTGAGCTTCTCACACGTTCGAGGTCTTTCTACAAATTACTGATGTCGTAGTTTTCAATGACGCTCAGCAAGTTTCCAATTGGAACCATATGTCTATGTTCACCAATGAAAAAGTCAATTAACACATTCTGCCCAATTAGCCGACTAATCGTTACTATTAGCCTCCTATCCTATGCCCACTGTCCGTACAACTCAGCTCCGCAAATCGCATAATTGTAGTATTCGCATAAATAGCCTGCCTAACTTTTTGTAGACCCGAGACTGAAAAAAAATTGGGCGCGTGTGTCGCCCACTTTTTGTTCCAAGTCTTAGTTGTTCAAAATGTTGAAAGTTCACCAGCTCGCCTGTATCTTTTCTGTTATTCCTACGTATGTATTTGTACCATTTTCCTCTCCTCTCGCGTCTTTTAATATCGTGGCCCACCAATAATAATATATTCTTATCTTTTGCATTTCCCACCTCGGCGCAAGTGCGGCGCAAGTCTTAGCAAAAATGTCATTGTGGCGCTAAATGTAGCAGACGTCCTCTCATCGCCCAATTTGGCCCAAATGGCGCAGAATTTCCTGACTGAAGATGTATTTGTATCAGATGTCTGGGCTCCATGAAACTGACAACAAAGGCTCGGCGAGTTCAGTCGCTGCCTTAGATTCCCCTTTCCACTCGAAGAAACGATGGCAGTGGGATGAACTTGAATAGACCTTTCCAAAAAGAGCGCTCTGGCCGCCGCCATTTTGCGAATCGAGCGACCCCTATCAGCCAGAAATTTCTGGCACCCGCCTGAGCTGTGGAAACCCGGTCAGCGTGACTCCCCACCTGCATTTTGCATTCGGAGTTCGCCGGCTTTTCTTGGAAGTTTTTATTTTGTTCGCCTGTTTAGGATGCTTACCCTTTGTATGTTATCTTCCACTGTGAGAACCAGGGAATACCAGGGCTCGTAGCCCGCTCGGCCTTCGCAGGAAACGAACGAAGAGAGCGAACGCCAAGCAGCCCGCGACGCAGGCAGTTCGACGTGCTTGGAGGATTATTTCCGTCGAGATAATCTCCAAAAAGCCTTCCAGGCTGTGTTCCGGGTCTTCGCAAAAAATAGCTGATAGGGTCGGGTCCGGGGTGTGGCGACATAATAAGCACGTTCGTTCATTTGCTATGAAGCTGTGCAAAAAAGGAGCTCTCTTCTACATGTTCCCCAAAACGCGCCGGATTCCGTCCGATCGTCGTGTTATTTGAGACCTTTCTCAAATCCTGTTCGGATAACGCAGCACCGAGGGGTACGTACAATATATTTTTTGTTCGATTGATGAGACTCATTGAATTTTATGTTGTGGGCGGGGAATATCCATGCAGTACGGATATCCTGTGTGGTCAAATATTTTGACGTTTATAGATTGACACGGCTGAGTTTACGGTGCGTAAAACAATGAACATAAAATGAAACAAACATTCCAGTTGCATTTGTTCTGTCGCGCACGGTCTCACCAGAACAGCTGTCATTTCTTTGTTTTTGTTCCCAAAAATAGAGCACTGCTTTCTTAAAGACATCAATAAGTTATGCTCGCCACAGAACACAAGATAAAAAAGAAAACGCGGCAATTCAGCCGCCACCAGCGTCCGGAATTGCGCTAACGCAGGCTGCCACAGCCTACTGACGAGAAACTCCACAGCTCAGCGCAGTCGGGCAACACTGACGTACACTCTCAAAACCAGGGACACGCGCTGTAAATCGCTTCGTTCGAGACTGCCGCTGGAAAGGTCTTCAAGCCCAAGCCATCTTCAAGACCTGGATCGGCAGGGACGAAGCGTAAGTTCGAAAAACGGGAAATGTCAGGCAGATGGTGAAGTCGAGACCGGGTCAAAAAACACACAAAAATGGCTGTATTCGAAGAAAAAAGAAAAAAAAGGCGCACATAATTTTTTTGGTGGATGTACGACATTTCAATCACCTATACGAAAAATAACTTCACCATGCTCGTCGCTTCGAAGTCTCGACAGGGGTTCCATGTTTTGGAAGTTTATTCTTAGTAAATTTCAAATTGTTTTAGGGGTTTATTTTTCGCCAAAAATTCGTGGTTTTTCGAAATTTATGCTCGCTATATTCCCATTTCTCCGAGATTCGGAGTTTGATAATTCTGTGCTCCCTCCTACCAAGATTCCTTTGAAATACAATCGATCTTTTTTATTTGCCCTCAGGACAATATAATAATTATACAGTCCTGAGACCTATATAATAATTATATAGGACTATATATATTAACACGGAACCCTATACTTATAACTTGTAAATTAGATACGCGGATGAACACTCAATAAGTAAAAAAAAAATACGAAAAAAAAAGAACCGAAACACTTTTTTTTTTTTTTTCATTTTTTAGACAAGTTTCACGTATCTTGGCTTTCTTTTGTAAACGCCGAAGATTTCAGGGTTATCCGCATAATCAGTCGCAATTTTTTTCGATTCGCCTTATAGAGGCCTCGACCACTGCCGCCGCAGGATCATCCGGGAAAGAGAACAGGCCCCCCAAGGTTGGTATCATGACGTCACCGAATGGAGGCCAACGCAGGGCAGGGGTATCGGACGGAAGTGCTGCCTTAGCGTTCGGCCGAAGCGGCTCCGTGTGACGTAGTTTTGTGCCCGATTTGGCGACACCTTCTCTGCATCAGTCAGTTGGGTGAATGGGTGGACGATTGTGGCTGAAACCTTTTAACCGAGCGGCGGCTGTTGCGCCTCCTAGACAAAGCTTTTATTTCAACAATTAACTCACGACCACGGTACAACAGGACCGGAGTAAAAAACAGGACGGACAAAACAAAGCTCCAGCTTTGTGTTGTCCGTCCCGGTTTTCCCCCGCTCATGGGTTACCGTGTCAGTATTTCACCAGCTGGCCTGTACACCTGCTTAAGTTTCAATTATCCAATCTCCAATCTAAAAACGTTTTCACAAAAACAGTGAGGCTACACTTTTCAACCTCATACTTCTAAATGCTGAAGTAACAGGGCGTGGTAAAGCATCCAATATCGCTTCGCTGCATGCATTTACTAATCGGTCATACGTGCAGTGCACAGCCGCGACTGATGGAGCAAAATCCACGACTATGACGTCCATTGACCTCATGGCCGTCGTCACGTGCTCCGCCCTTTCAGAGCGCCGTGGCGGGAGCAGCGACGCCCCTGCAGCGAGGAAGTTCGCGTGTGGCTTCGAGGTCCTGCGTGAAGCAACTCTTCGCTGCGCAGGAGGAGGAATACGGTACGGGGACCCGCTAAGTGCTTGACGCGGGAGTATTCACTATGAATATCGTCACCGTTATTGTCATCGCTTCTTCGTCAATGACGGGAAGTGCCAATTTCCCTAATGTTAAGTTAGTACCATTACAAAGCTTGGCGAAACCAAACTGACAAGGGCCCTCAAGCTGAACGTCAGGGAATAGCTCTGTTTGTACTTTTAGGCAGCGTGAAGTTAGTCGTCCCAATGTGCGACTCGTATGTCCACTGAAGGTGACAAATTTAGCCAGTGCAATAGCATTGCTAGCTCGGGATCTTTGACGCGCGCATCGGGCCTTAGTGGTACACGACCGCACGCAGGACCGATGCTCATCCAGATCAAAACGGGGAGGGGCAGGCATATAAACCCAGAATCCATAGCTTCTGCGGCGTGCATGAAATATTGTTCGATGTACAAGCTTGTTTCGGGCTCGCGTCATATCGGAATTCAGGAATTTAAGGGGGTGGTAGACCGCCCTGTGTGCCGCTGACCCTAGTAACGCCGCTGGACCTAAGGAATCAGGGCATCGGATGAACGGTTCATTTGGTAGGACGTGACTTTTCTTCGTCCGGTGACGTGCGCAGATCCCGGAGAGGGCACCTCGAGCCAGACGCGATACCCGAAGCGGAGCCGCAAGTCCGTCAACTACGCCGAGTGCGAAGTTCCCTCGGAGGACGAGTTCTTCTGTGAGTGTCCAGAAGTTCGAGATACACGGACAAGATCTCGTGCTCCCTTCCCTCAGTGACACTCCATGCTAACTTCGAAAGCTTAATTAATTATAATGGGGCTACAGAAGTGTGTTGCTCACTGTTGTCCGTTGTGCAGACTGCTTGGAGTGCGGCGAAGACCGGCACGGCGACTGTCCCGTCCACGGACCGCTCGAGTTCGTCAAGGACACACCGGTGAGATATTTACACGATTTCCTCGGTGTCTGGCGCGCGCCGAGGAGGCATTGTGAGCTTTTGAAATGGCAGGATTGCGGGGAAGAGGCGAAGAGACGGAGCAAGCCATCTGTGTTGGGACAAGAGGGACTTCGTGGCGTGATCGAGTTTTCGCTTTCGGGTCCGGGCGTTACCTGTGTCCGTGTGTAACCTCCCTCGAATTCCGCGTGCTACCCGGGAAAGTATACACGCGGGCTTCGATTGCTCCAGCACCAGACTGGACATCCAATGATAAGAATCTGCGAAATCTAGTGTGCTACTATTAAGTCATTATCCAGACTGTACATCGGAGACAATACACTTCAAGAATGGAGCGTGTCTATATTAGAAATTAACTTAAAGGATATCCAGAAAACCCTCGATGGAAACCATAAAAAAGTCTAAATATCTGCTACCAAAATATTCAGCCAGCGTCATGAAATTAACCATACTAAAAGTGGTATTCCCGCCTGCATGTCTATATTTTTAGCTTAGCTGGATGTGTCAGAAAGTATCCCATTCTCGAGTGTCCTATACAGATCACGGGTCTGGAATCACAGCAGAAATGCTTACAGATTTTGTTTTTAGTACATATTTTATGTTAGATTAACAAAAACATGACTGAAACCGAAGTTTTATCGCACCGTTCGAAAATAAGTAATAGTGCAAACAAATACACGTTCGTTTTTGTCATCCTGGCTGACAAAGTCCTTGCAGTACGTAAACTCTCTTTACATATTACTTGTAACGTCATATCCATCCCCTCCGATTAATTCAGGTTCCCCCGGGAGACCCCCAGCGGGCGAACAAGACCCTGCCCGAGGGTCTGACGCTGGCCCGGTCCTGCATCAAGGGGGCCGGGAAGGGGGTCTTCACCCTCAGGCCCCTCCCGGCCAGGCTGTGCTACGGGCCCTACGAAGGCGTGCGCTTCACCGGCTCCGGCGGGGGCAACGGATACACCTGGAAGGTGCAGTGCTCCCTGTGGGTTCCGTGAGCATGCGTGAACTTGAAGGTTCTGAGCCTGAAAGTGAGGATAGAATTGTCGAAGTTCACAATAGAATATCGTACTCCCTTGGCGGTGTAGCTTGTCCCAGGGTTAACATCCTAATGGTGTTGCAGGAACACGTTTAGGACGCTAGGAAACACGCATCCTAAAGATAATTTTTTTTACACAATGTACAAGCAGCACGCTTCACCTTCAGGTTGCACTCGCACAGATAGCACAAAAAGTCGACAATGCAGAAATACCCATTCGCAGATGAGCGCTTTGGATTCATGGTTTTGCGCAAAAAAGACGAACACAAGAGAGAGAAACAAACACGAGCGCATCTCTCTCTTGTGTTCGTCTTTTTTGCGCAAAACCATGAATCCAAACGTTCACCAACTCGCCCAACAACAAACTATTTTGCAAATGAGCGCATCCGGAACTATGGAAGTTTCAAGCATGTTTCTTTGTTCTTCTCAATACTTCACTCATGGCATAAGAACTCGAAGTTCAAGAAATGTCTCATTAAGTAAAAGCATCGATACAGGCAATAATGATCTGATTTAGTAGCCAAAGCAATCTCTTAGAAATGCTTGAGGCGGGTGTAAAAGTGGTGCGTCACCGCGTGCACTTGCCCGGATCCAGGTGCGTGGCCGGGGCGGCTACCTGGTGGACGCCCGGCCCCTGTCGGAGTCCAACTGGATGCGCTACGTCAACTGCGCCCCCAGCGAGAACAGCCAGAACCTCGTGGCCTTCCAGCACAGGGGAGGCGTCTACTACCAGACAAGGGCCAAGATAGCGCCGGGGACCGAGCTGCTCGTCTGGTACGGGGACGAGTTTGGCGCCGAGCTAGGACTCGTCGAAGGCAAGGACGGAGCCCAGAAGAAGCGTGAGTGGGGGACATCGGATGGCAAGGATACGCTGAGTTTCGAAGTTTGTCATTGCGATAAAAATTGGCAGGAGTGCACTGTTAGTTATGGAACCGCGATACATAAAAATGCTTTTTTTTTTCTTGAAATATGAAGTTACTATAATATCCAGAGAGATAGCCCATCCAAAATTAAAAGAAAATTGTACGAAAATTAGGAATGGGCTACCTTTCGGTTTGCAGTCGAGAAAAGTTGAAAACAAAAATATTATTTTAGATAATGTGTCTGTCAAACATGTTATCACGGTGAGGTGGCAATGAAGCAAAGATTACTGTACTTCCCAGTCAGGAATGTTCGCTTATATACCCGTGCCACACGGGCAACTCGAATGCCATTTACAACGAATGATATTCGTGTGATCAACGAATCGGCTCGCGATCTGTCACGCGTGGGATGCGCCACGCCCGGAGCTTCGCGCGCCGATTGTCCGATCGTTCAAATGTCATTCGTTGTAAATGGCTTTCGAGTTGCAAGCGTGGTACGGGTATTATATATCCCGCCTTAGCTAACCGGACGCATTTACGCCAAGATCATCCTTGATGCGAACACCACGATTACTAAGAGTCGGCTATCTTTTGGTGTTTTAAGGGAAGATAACAAATCGATCCGAAAATGGGGGGCGGGTTACCTTTCGGGGGAGGGGCATCTCTCGGGATGTTACGGTATACTGTTCCCACTTAACACTCTGCACCCCTTGTCTTGCTCGTCCATGTGCAGGCCAAGAAGATGCACCGTCCGTCGAGGGGCCAGCGGAGAGCTTCGCGTGCGGGGACTGCGACAGCGTCTTCGCTTCCCTCGAGCACCTCCGGGGACACCGGAAGAGGATGCACGGGAGGGGAGGGGGCAGGCACCGATGCGGTCACTGTCCCTACTCCAGCGATAAGAAACCAGACCTAGTCAAGCACGAGCGCACCCACACGGGAGAGAGGCCCTTCGAGTGCGGCACCTGCGGCGAGGCTTTCACGCAGCAGGAACACTTGACCCAGCACCAGAGGGTGCACACGGGCGAGCGGCCGTATGAGTGCGCCGAGTGCGGGCAGAAGTTCGCCCAGCTGACAGTCTTGAGGAGGCACGAAATCACGCACAGCGGAGAGCGGCCCCACGTCTGCCCAGAGTGTGGGAGAGGATTCACTCACAGAAGTAGCCTCGCACAGCACAGGCGAACCCACTCCGCCGAGAAGCCCTATGCCTGCCACCTGTGCTCCTACAGGACCTGCCACTTAAGAAACGTGAAGAGCCACGTGATCGGGGCGCACTCAAAAGAGTATCCCCACAAGTGCGGGGACTGCGGCAAAGGGTTCCTGTCCCCAGGTGAGCTCAGAAGCCACATGAGGAAACACCACACCTGCAACGACCAGGAGCGGTAGATGGACTCCGTGATGGGGGAGGGGGGAGGGGCACCGGGTCCTAACGATACTGGGGAAACCCGAAGACGAGGGTGACACCGGCGAGTTCTTCTTTTGCTTTCTAATAAATACATTGTACATAGAATTGGCCTTGGCTTACTGTTCCCCACGAGCGTATCGTCTAAAAGGGCCACTTTGCCCAACCGTGGGTGTAAGGGTCGACGAAGGCTGTGCGGTGGGCCGTTAGCACGAGAGGGACTTGGCTGGTATACAAAAGCGTTGACGAACAGTTCCCGCGGTGGTGGGCGACTTCGAAAGTCGGCCGTATACTTTGCGATGCGAGGCTGAAAACGCGCGTTTTTCGCCGAGAGAACCGGAACGTGCGTTTCGGGCGGGGACGACTATCGGAGAGTGCGGTGGTTGGATGGGCAACGTTAGACCACGTCTGGCGGAATGATCGTCGGCGCTGTCCACATCAGGGACGGCGGTCTGACTCGCCTCGCGAGTTCTAAAAAAGAGTTTGCTCGCGTCCGAACCCGCCTGGCGTTTGGTCATGAGATATGCAAGGATGAAAATGCTGCGTCATTTGCGCCAGATTGCTCCATAAAGGGAAGTCTGCTACATCTTGCGCCAAAATGCCATTTTTGTTAACAATTGCCCCAAACCTGCCCCGAGAAAGGCTTAAAGCAAATATATATATATATATATATATATATATATATATATATATAATGAAAGTGGAGGAGATCCAGGAAAGGCCTTTCTTTACTGCACCGACGTT